TAGCAGTATTCCAGCATAGTTGCTATTGGAAGGATTGGGCTACAAAGTTTTAAGAGAAACAGAAAACAAATTTCCATTCCTATAAGTTTTTTGTTTGCTTTCTTAAGGCGTACACAAACTGTTTTTCAGCCTTTGAGGATGAAAAGAGGGATTTCAGGGTTAAAAAAATAAATCCAGCCCCCACTAATTAATTGTGGGAAAAACAGTAACTTTTTCCCACTTCTGTTCTTTTTGCCAAAATATTTATAAAGGACTGAAACTGAAACAATTTCTTCTGAATTTGTTCAAAATTTGGGAGAGATGGGCCCCTAAACTAATTCCATACCTATCACCTCTTCAACCTTTTAAACAATTTAAACAGTATCAGGACTGGGAGGTGACAGGACATATTATTTAAAATATTTCTGCATTAGGGATATTCCTAAAGCAGGAAAACAATTATAGATAATTTTAGAAAATTTGGCTCATGCGTGGTTTCAAACATGTCAAATTTTGTGTTTCACTGCAATCCTGGGAGTTAGAATACAAGCAACTATAGCCGTGGCTAAATTTGAAATAAGGTTAAATTTCAGTAATAGAGATGAAGTAGGGGGAATCTCAAACATTTTTAAAATGCTATTAAAAAGACAAACTTCTTGAATGGGCTGAAAGGCATATAGGATATTAAAGCCTCTTTACCTTTGACTTTATGGCTATCAATTTGTCACAGAAAACCACTGAATTTTTAAAAAGTTTTTAATAAAATTAAGAAAAATTCAATGAGAGTATTTTATGAATGATATTTAAAGCCAAGAGATGTTAGCATGATAAATTCTAGTAGAAAACACATGTTTTGGAGGATTTTTTTTTAAAAGGTACATATTATATCTGGTGGTCCTCTAAATCTATTCAATTGTTTGGACTGAATTTTTTATTATAATAGACAAACGACAACTCAGTCTATTGAAACTTAATAAGTTTTTTTGATAACCCAAATGACTCTCACAACTGCTTACAACTTAATTCTGAGTCCTTAGATAATTTAATTCAATTAGATTATATTAATTCTGCTTTTATGCTATTCTCACCGTATTGCAAATCAAATTAAAGCTTTTTTTTAAAAAAAGTAAAAGTTCATGAGAAATAACTTTTTCCCAATTCTCTTGGTCTCATTGTCTTTTCTATCTGCTGCTGCCAAGGTCCCTATCCAGCCCCATCTTCATGAGCCATTTTAACACTTCGAAATGCTTTGGGGAGATGATGTTTACCTGAACATCTTCCCATTTTATTCTTCCTGAATCCTGGATCAACGCATTTTTTTTCTCCATTGTATTGTATTTCTTTTGTCCATTAAATCAATAGCCCAGTAATCAGGATTGTATGGGGGATCATCTTTTTGCTACCCTGAATGGGGGGGGGAAATCAATCTGGTCATTAAATTATACTAGGAATGGGATTTCCTTCCAGGTGTGAAATCAAAGAATTGCCACCAAGCCCAATTCAGATCACATAATGACTACCCCTAAACCACCCCAGCTACAAGATCTCCTATCTACGTCTGCACCTCCTTACCAGTGGTTGGTATGCTCACAAGGTCAGAGAACGCAGTTATGTGATCAAGGAAGAGAGGTTAATGAAAGTAAATGGAGAAAAATTAGTTGGGAGCATGGATCCTGTGATATAATGCCGCATATCAAATTACCATATATACTCGCAGATAAGTCAAGAATTTTAGGTCCCAAAATAGACCCCAAAATTTCAGCTCAGCTTATCCACGAATGGGCTTTATCTGCAAGTATATACAGTAATACTTTTTTAAAGTACTCATGTAAACTTGTGAAGAAGCCCATCCACAGATAAGCCAACCCTAAAATTTTGAACCAAAATACCATGAGAAATGTACCACCCACAGAGAAGTCAACTGAAAATGAAAACATACAAAAAATTCGAGGGTCAGCTTATCTGTGGGTGGCACATTTTTCATGGTGTTTTGGTTAAACATTCTAGGGTCGGCTTAACCGTGGACGGGCTTATCTGCAAGTATATACGGTATGTTAAAATATATGCACCCATTGATAAGCATGACTCTTTAGGTAGTTTAGAGGCAGTGGTGTATTTGTGTAACCTAGTGCTGTAACCTAAACCAGACCAGTCTTTCCAGAGAGGAGGAATGGAATAGTGTAACGTGAGATCACAAAGTGAACACGGCTGTTTATGGTACATGTCGACAATATCAGGAACTGTACTTCAAGTGTGAAATATAACAAGGAAGTCATTTCAATAGCTTATCAAAGCATTCTAGAGGAAGGCAGCGTTACTGCATTATTCTTTTTATCTTGCTGTTTCAAATGTTAATTGGCCAAATGTATATAATCTGAGTTTTTTGCTCCAGGCTCTCTCTCCTGCTGTAAGTGTATTCCAATAAAGTGTACTTCATTGCACCTTTGTAAAAATATACGGCTTTCTGAAGAGAGCGAGAAAGATCATTTTGTCTTCCTTTCCCTCCAAAGTTGGATGGCAATGAAGATAATTTCTGCATCCGAAAAACAGCCCTGCAACATATTGCTTTGATTTCGTCTTTCCAAAACACTAATTGGACTGCAAAGCTTTACTAGAAGGTGGAAGAGGTAGTAGCAAAGCTATACATTTCCCCATTTTTAGACATTTATACTCATATTATGAATTTTTAAAATTTTGATTGTATGATTGTTTTGATGTTGATGGTTGTTACAATTGCCATGAATCTGTGATTTTGCAATATACAAATGGCATAGATAAAAAAAAAATTACTTGCCAGCAGTAGTGCAATAGTAACAACAATAATCTTGGAGTTGTAGTTTATCATAAAATGATTCTGAAATGTGACATAGTTTCTCAACACTAAAAACAGTATCTATTATTATCTCAATTTTGGATCATCTGTATTTTTAAAAAGCTTTCTCTCCACATTGCTGATAAGGAATAGCTGTCACAACTAAATTACAAGAAAGGAGAACTTTGAAGTCATAGCAGTATTTTTATTTATTGTTGCTTGGCAGAATAGAAGACATCTTCTAAAAATCCTTCTCTTGTTCCAAATATTCCTCATTCTTCTGCCTAATACATAGCTCTGTATCTGGCAGTGTTTTCTCTTCATTTATAAAAAGTCAGAGACTAGTTCAATTCCTGGTCACTTAAATGAAGAAATCCATACAGGTTTTTTGGCATGATGTGGAAATCTCACTGCCCCACCCAAGTTTTTTGGTTTGTTTTTTTTTTACTTCCCAGCCTAGTCCCATCCTGGTCCCATCCAAGTATTACCCAAGACTATCTCTACTAAACTTACTAAACCAGAAAATATAGGCACCTGCTAAGAAACTTCATTGTGAGTTGCTATAAAGAAACTAAAACCAGGACAATCAAATACGTAATAAGTCTACAATATATGTAGAAACCTGATGGAGGCTCAGATGCTTCAAATCTGAATCACTACTTTGAAGCTTCTGCACTAAGTTACTTAATATTGAAGAGTTATTAAGTTTTGTTCAGTAGGTAGAAACTGACTCAGCGTTAGAAACCCAATATGTTGGGGCAATAACAGTCTTCCTTGATATTAAGAAATTGATACCCACTACTACAAATTCATGTTTAAAATGTAATATAAAAGTTTGGAAAAGTTGAAAACCATTTATTGGACCTGACCTTTTCTATCTTCTCCCATTCCATGAACATTCATGTTGTCAATGCACAGATAAATATGACCAATACAAGGAATGAGATGAAAGACTGTACAGAATTAGAATTTTGATTACCGATAGCAATCTAATCTCTACAAAATACATTTTGCTGAAAAACTAGTCATAAACTCCACCCTGGTTCCTACTGAGAAAAAGTTCTTAACCTTGTAAGATCTCCTCAGTGAAGGACACCTGCAATATCTGAAGAACCATTTAGATCTCTGTAAGATCAGGCATTACCATTAAGCAAAACTTTCATTAAAGGCAAGAGGCTCGCTAGACAGAAAACCTTTCAGTTCTACAGTATGTAAAATCAATGAGCAGCTTGGATTACCACGTTTAATTCCTATCATCCTGTGAATAGTCAATTAAAATAATTTGTATCTAGCATTAAACCAGTTGAAAAGCCCATTAATTAGATACTAATCTTGTTTTGATTGGAGGGGTTGTAATAAAATTGGTACCTTATCTTCTCTGATGGCAATGGCCATTTAGTTACTCCTTTTATGACACTATTTTTGAGGAAACTGGATGACTGTTTTTTATTTCTAATACTCTTCACCATCCTTAGCTTATTCTGGGTTGGTTGTCATGACACAACATCTATAGTCGGGTCAGAATTCTTCCTTGGACAGCTTTCCTCAGCCTTGTGCATGTCGTTTTCCAGAGGATTAGTTTTTCTGCCAGCACAGTGACTTCCTCTGCTATCTTCCTCCATTTTCTTGGAGCTGTTTGGGGTTGACCCATTTGCTCTTCCTGTTTAGGAACTCCTGTCCCTCTTGAGCAACTTTTCCTGGTGGCCGCTTCTGCACAGAATTGTTATAGTCTCCTTCATACTTACCTTGTATCAGTCTCTTGCTAAGTCCCCACTTATCATCCCACCATATATTATTCCTGGGGATTTATTTTCTGCTAAAAAAAACACCAAACAAACCATCATCACATGTGGTTCCACAAGTGGGAACACCTTGATGGCAGGAGGTATTTCATTGCCATTCTTACCTCTGTATTTTGTATCTGGAGCACCAGAGTAGCAGTTAACCACTATTTAATCCAAGAATAAACTCTGGGATGATCATAATCTCCACAGAAGTTTCGGTTTAATGGCATACTAACCCGAATCATACCATGGTTTGGCATGCCATGAGGATCTTATTAGAAATATTCATTCCACAGTGAAATGGTCCAGTAAGGCTCCTCTGTTATGACCCCTCTGGAGGTGGAGCTGTTCCCCCCACCCTCAACAACTGCTCTTATTTAATTAATTTAAAAAATTCTTATTTATTTAAAGAACTTTTCCTTGAACAGCCCTTTTCACATACATTAGTATTCTTACTGAACATCCCCATCACTTTGCCCCTAAAAAATACAATCGGGGAAGAATCATATTGGATATACTTTGAAACTTAATTACACAAATTTACATAAATTTCAATTTAGGTTTCATCATAACATCCAAAGATGATCAGCAGATCACGTTGTCAAGAAACATGTGCACTTCTGGTTTATATGACCTCCCCCTAAATGAGTTCTTTAATATTAAATAAGGTTTCAGTTGATACTGAAGCTCTTTCCACACTCCATTGCATCTCCCCTATGCTGCTCTCTTCATGAGCAATTAAGTCACTACAGTTACTGAAGGTCTTTCCACTTTCCATAAATGAATGTGCCTTCTCTCTCACATGGATCCATTTATGGGAATTGAGTGATCTGCTCAACCTGAAGCTTTTTCCACACTCCAGGCACGTGTATAGTTTCTCTCCTGTGTGGATGCTTTTATGAGAAGTAAGGGATCTGCTTTGTTTGAAGCTCTTTCCACACTCCATACATTTATAGGGTTTCTCTCCTGTGTGGGTCCTTCTGTGGGAAGTAAGGCCGCTGCACGTACTGAAGCACTTTCCACATTCGATACACTTATACGGTTTCTCCCCTGTGTGAGTCCTTTTATGGGAAGTAAGGTCACTGTTCCACCTGAAGTTCTTCCCACACTCCATGCACTTATATGGTTTCTCCCCCGTGTGGATCCTTTTATGGAACGTAAGGGAACTGCAATCGCTAAAACATTTGCCGCATTCCATGCATTTATATGGCTTTTCCCCTGTATGGATCCTTTTATGGGACGAAAGGGAACTCCAACAACTGAACCGTTTATTACACTCCAAACATTTGTAGGGTTTTGCCCCCGTGTGGGTCCTTTTATGGCAAGCGAAGATACTGCTGTCGCTGAAGCTCTTTCCACACACTGCGCATTGATACGGTTTCTCCCCTGTGTGGATCCTCTTATGGGAAGTAAGTTCACTGCACCTACTGAAGCTCTTTTCACATTCCGTGCATTTGTACGGCTTCTCCCCAGTGTGGATCCTTTTGTGAATAGTGAGGTCGCTGCTCCACCTGAAGCTCTTCCCACACTCCAGGCATTTGTACGGTTTCTCCCCCGTGTGGACCCTTTTATGGGAAGAAAGGGAGCTGCATCCACTGAAGCTCTTCCCACACTCCATGCACTTGTAGGGTTTCTCCCCAGTGTGGATCCTTTTATGAGATGCAAGGGAACTACAACCACTGAAGCACTTACCACATTCCAGGCATTTATATGGCTTCTCCCTTGTGTGGATCCTTTCATGTGATGTTACAGTATTGCTCTTGCTGAAAGCTTCCCCACATTCCATGCAATTATATGGCTTCTCTCTTACACAGACCCTCTGATGTAAGTTAAGAGGGAACACCAAATTGCAACTTTTCCCATCCTTGCTATGTTCGTCCACCTTCTCTTTAGGATGTGTTGTAAGATGTTTATATAAATCTGAGGTATCTTTCAATATTTTCCCTAAATACTCTCCCCATCTATCTCCTTCATGAACTTGTTGAGTCAGCAATTCTTGGATTTCTGCACATGGAGAAGTAGAGAATGTCTTTATTCTTTTGTCTGAGTGGTTTCTCTCGTGCCTTCTTGGTCCTTCTTGATTTTCAATAATCTCTTCTCCCATTTCAGGCTTGAATAGCTGTGACGGCACCGTATCTGCCTTTTGGTCATTCTTATTCTCTTGGCCATCTCCTGTGTTGGAGACAAAGGTAGAAAAGAGGGGGGGAAAAAATAGAAGTTTAAGACACAAAATTAAAGACTCATTAGAAGGAAAAGATATTAGCTGCATTTCTTATTTATTTAAAAGCTTGAAAATTTATAATACAGGTAGTCCTCACTATCCGGCCACAATAGGGACCAGAATTTAGGTTGCTAAGCGATTTGGTTGTTAAGCGAATCGGAGCTGATTTTACGACCTTTTTATGATGGTTGTTAAGCGAATCATATGGTCATTAAGCGAATCCAGCTTCACAATGGACTTTTTTGCTGGAATTTGCTTAACAACCACATGATTTGCTTAACGACTATGTGACTCACTTAATGACCATAGCGATTCACTTCACCACCACTGTAAAAAGGTCACAAATCACGATCACGTGACCGCAGGAGTCATAAAAGACTTTCCCCAAGGCTGTCGTAACTCTGGACCATCGTTAAACAGTTGTTAAGCAAGGGCTACCTGTAGTTTCAGTCAACTCTAAGTTACATACAACAGGAATAGGTGCAGCCAAGGCAACACAAATAAAGTACAATAATATACAACAAAGCAAATACAATACATAGCTACAATTAAACATTACAATTAATCAAAAATACTTGAATCATTCCTGATCCTGGAGCTCCATAAACCCAAGTCCCTATGGCCTTCCAGAACAGTCAAGTTTTTCCAAACTTCCAGAAGGACTTTATAGGTGATAACCAGCACCTTGAATAGTACTTGCAAACATATTATCAGCCAGGGCAGCTTCTGCAGTACTGATGCTGTATTGTAGTAAGACTATCCAGTAAGCCCATGGGCCACTGCACTTTGCCACAACCGAAGTTTATGGGTGATCTTCAAGGGTGATCATGTAAACTGAATTACAATAATCCATATGGCAGAAGACAAGGGAATGAACAATCATCTTCAGCGTTCCTGATAAGATGGCACTTGGCATACCTGTGGCCCTCCTGGCTCCTGGCCACAGCCTCCAATTGAATCCAGGAGGACCCCAAATTGTAGGGCTACTCTCCATGGGAAGAGCAGAACCCTGTCAAAAATTAAAGATGGTATAATCCCAGAATCAATAAGTTTCTGAATGAGTAGACCTTTGGTCTTGCTTGAGTTGGGTCTGAACCTATTCTTTTCCATCTAGACCTTGACAGACTCCAAATGGAGTTTCAGAGATTCCACCTCATCCTCCTTTTCTACAAAACTTCCTTTCTTCTCTATGTGTTTTGATTAAACCAAGTTTACTCATGGTTTAAAACAAATACACACACACACACACACACACACACAGACTATTTTGTACATTTCATGTTTTCATTTCTCAGTGCAACCATGACATCATTTTCCATAACCCTAAGTAATGTAAGTAAGGGGAAGAATAGAACTGTAGGAAAGGGAATGGAAAGAGAGTGACACTAAACTGTAACCGTCAATTTAGATAAATAGAAGGGATTATGTATTGGAGAGACACATGAAGCATAAATTCATCAGGAGCATCATTAGCAAGGAGCTTTTCATCCCACAAAAACCCATGTAACAGTTTAACCCTGGCCTGTGACTATCCTCACCAAGGTGAACCAGGGTAAAGTCACATTCAATACCTATTTAGATAACCTGCTTAGAGATGAAGCAGGTTATCGAAATAATCATAACCATAATTTGTTGTTGTTGTTTAGTCGTTAAGTCGTGTCCGACTCTTCGTGACCCCATGAACCATATTGCGCCAGGCCTTCCTGTCCTTAGATCTTACATTCCAGGTAATTATATATATATGTATGTATGTATGTATGTATGTATGTATGTATAATAATTATATTATAATTATCTAAATAATTATAACCATATAAGTTATAATTATCTAAAAATAATTAGATAATTATAATTATCTAAATAATTATAACCATATAACAGCCTCAAACTGGTTCTAGGTAAGTTTGAAGTAAACTAACCCAGTATGCATGTCCAAGGGACCTTCCAAATGGGTACGTGGCATATTATTTATACTTGTCCATGTCTGAACGGTATAGAAATAGACAAGCTTAGGAATAGTATAAAGATGATGCTAATCAATGATGCACAAACCTAGGGTGGTGGTGATGGTGGTCTTGATGGACTTGTTTGAGCTTTACTGCTGAGGTTTGTAAGAGAGTATTGCTCCTTTGTGTGAATTAAAAGAAGTGAAGGTTCAATAACACTCTCTGATGGTTTTTTTACCCACTGTGGAAATAAAGCCTACCACATTTGTAAAAAGCAAAGTAAAACAATTTCATATAGCACCTTCAAGCACAGCATGTCCTACAGATGGCTGTACAGCCCTGTTTGAACACATCCAGTAAAGAGGAGCCCATGAGTGTAATGAGTTTCACTATCAATCAGCTGTTACAGTTAGAAAAAGTCTCCTAACATTCAGCAGGAATCTATCTTTCTTTAACTTAGTTATCACAATTCTTTGCCCACTCTTGATTGACAGAGAATAGTCTGAGCCTTCTTCTTTGCGATCTTCTTCCCTGCACTTAACGGCTACTATCATATTCCCTGATAGTCTTTTCTGCTCAAGGTAAGCATTCCCAGTTCCATGGGATCTCTTCAGAGGACTTGGCTTCTACTCCCCTGATCATCTTGTCACTGTTCTAAGAATCTGTTCCAGGTCCTCTGAATCCTTTTAAAAGTATGGTGGCCAAAATTCAACCCAATTCTTAATGTGATGCCTGACCAGAGTAGAATAATGAATTTGTTATGAAAACAATGCTTCTCCTGATGCTGCTAAAATTGCCTTTTTTTGGTAGATCATCTCACTGCTAAGCCCTATTCTGTCTGTAACCAGCTACTATTTCAAGGTATTTATAGAACTGTGGAATGAATCTGTTCTCTGTAAGATTGAGAAACTGGAGGAACAAAAAAAACCTTAACTACTCTCTCAAATCCTAGTTAAGAAATTATTACATATCAGCGATTACTTATCAATCTCCCCTTTTCTTCAAATTTCTGGATAAACAGAACATTCAGATTAAGCATTTTTTGGGAGGAACAATAGCATCTGACTTTTGACTACAGAATATTTTCTCCAACTGTCTGAGCCAGAGCAAGGAGAGGCCCTTACCCAGAGAAGCCACATTCCTAGAATTCTCCAGCATGACTTCCTCATGAAGAGCTTTTTGGTCAGCATCCAGGAGAGTCCACTCCTCTTCAGTAAAACACACAGCCACATCCATGAAGGACACAGGACTCTGAAGAAGGACAAATATTTTTCCTGTTAACAGACATGGCAAAAAAAAACCCTTGGAAGTTTTCTTCCTGAACAAAAATTTAGAAAAGCAGATTTTTTCCATGCAGAATTCAGAACAAGATGAAAATAGATACCACTCACAGCTTATTATTGATGAAATGCTTGGGGCAAAATTTGTGGAGGACCTTCAGGGCAACTCCACACCAAGAAGATAGTAATTTCCTGCACTGTTCAGCTCACACAGCAAACATTCATACCTTTCTAGTGAATGTTTCCAGAAAAAGGGACACCTATTTGACATTCTGGTCAGTGGTCATCAGGAATCACTGATATCCCTTCTGAAAAACTAGTGAGGCTGCTGACAGATCATCCAGGGAAGGGGATGGGAAACTTGGAATATCCAACCATATTCGGCTCTGAGTTCCAAAGATGTTGGTCAGGCTCTGAATCATTGACTGGATTGGAAGTAATCAAGTTAAAGCAATGTCAGAGATGGTTCTGGAGATGAAGTGGAGTGACCCTGGAACAGATCTACAGTCTGATTTAAGCAGAGCAGGGTGCTCCATGAACAAAAAAATATTTGCCATTCTAGGGAAGGAGAAATCCTTGTCCTACCTGAACTGGGACCATATCTGCAGTTTCTGCTTCAACATGAAGAGGAGATGCTTCTACAAGATCCAGCAATGTTGTTCTGCTCTCTATGAAAAGTCAAAGGTGGCAGAAGAAGCACGTGTATTAAAAACATTATCAGTAAGTTCTGCAGAGGCATTATACAGAAATCCCACTCTTGCCCACAAGCTCAAGGTTTAGTAGTAAAAGAATTTATGAATTACATCAATTCAGAGAGTTGGGAATGTCCTAATGAACTCTCACCCCATCTTACCTGGTGACATGTCCTGAGCTTGACCCTTTGGAAAATTCACATCCCAGAACAGCTCCTGGGAGGATTTAGACAGAGGCACGCTTGGTGTGGGCCACTCAGTGACCACTTCCATCAATGGTCCTTGCATCAGAAACAACTGCCAAGAACAAAAAACAGTTTGGAACACACAAAGGAGTTGATTTGTGCCTTGTACCCCAAAATTTGCACCTCCCTCCCGCCCCACCCATCACTTGGCTTCCTGCTTCTCCTGGGACACGATCAAGAAAGGACAATGGGGTTGCCTAAAGAGGAAGCAAACCCCCTTCCTTGTATTGTCAGCTCCAGAAATGGCACAAAGAGAGGCGTTTAAGGATGCAAAAGTTCTGTTTCTCACACCTCCCACTTCCAAGTGGAGGGCCAGCATGAAACGGGCTCTCACCTGCAGCTCCCTCTGCTTCTTGTCCTCGGCCTGGCTCAGGAGGAAGCCTTCCACCAGGGCCACCGCTTGGGAACTGGTTTCTGCTCCACACTCCCTCACCCAGCTGCCCAGCTCCGGGGTCAGGATGGCCAGGAACTGCTCCAGGATCACCAGGTCCAGGATCTCAGCCTTGCTGTGCTTCTCTGGCTTCAACCACTGACAACAAAGGTGGTAGAGTTGGCTGCAAACCTT